TCAAAAAAGCCTAAAGAATAAAATTTGAAGGCCACTGTTTTGGGGGCAGATGTCTGTGTGTCTTTTTAATCATAGCTTTTTATCTGCATAAAGCAGAGTCTTCAGTATCTTTACTGTTAAGGAAACAGAATTTTCCACATCTAGCCACAATGAACTCATGTGAGACCTTCTTTTAAAGAGTTTAAATTTTGAGTGGACAGGGTAATATTTTTTTTCACTTTGGAGTTTTGTGTAATATTAAGTTACATCCAGAAATGGTTTTTATCTGGTGTAAGAGATCATGTACTTTCACAAATAGCCAGAACAGTCTTCCATTTCAGGTGTAAACTGTGATCTACCTGAGCATCTCCGCTCTTGACCCTCTTGGTCTTTGTGTCTCAAGAACTTGTTTTCTATTACTTGGGTCATAGCCCTAGAAACTGCAATTTTTCAACCCTGAAATACTTTTAGAAATAATAGAAGTGGTTAACTCTTACTGAAAGCTAAATGCATCAATAACAATCAACAAGAGTTGCAAAGCAAAGTGAGGATATGTGATATAATTACTTTATCCCTTGAATTCTGCTAAAATATTTTCCAACTTGCAAGATAACTCTAAAGGTGCAGTAATGAAAAGATCACTTAATTTATGCATCACAACTTTTACAGGTGCAGAACTAGATGCTTGAATATTATTGTGTTAGGTGTATGTATCAGTGCATTTGTTATATGTGTTGCCCAGGTTATGTAGAAACACAAAACTTACTGCAGAAGAAACAGGATAAAATATATGTACTTTTTTCAGCAGAAATCATTTGGTCTGCAGTCATTTAAGTTACTCTGTGGAGATTTCATTTGGTTTTAAGCAGTCTGATTGTTAAAATGTCGATAATGAACCGGGAGCAATAGCTTGTATGTAAGGCTAAGAACATATGGAAGCAGTCTGACAGGATACATCTTAGCCAGACATAACTGAGGAAGAAAGCACAAAGTATGAGTTAGTCTGCAGAAAGTAGTGTGTAGCTCATTGATTTGTTCTTTCCAATGTCTGTTGTCTGATGTTTTATGTTATCATTAGGTAAATAAGAATTTCTGAAGCATGCCATAACTGAAGCTCTATTTCCTAATGTCAGAAATAAAAGCTGTGTCCAAACGGTTCATTAAGACTTACTCCAGATCACTTCTTGAGTATTTCACTCTGAAAACCAATCCATGCTCTGATTCTTCTTGTAGAGGAAATGAACAGCTAGGAACCAAAACTGGAGAGTTAATACTGCTACGTCTTCAATTTGGAATATTTATATACACTCATTTCTTTAATGCTATATAAATATTATAAGGTGTTTTTATATAAAAAAATGCAGGTAGATACTTCAGAAAATGGTTAGCATGAACTGCAGTAGCTTAGTTGCCTCATCTACTAGATTAACAGAAGAACATCGTATGAAGTGTAGCTGAAACCAAAGCAAGTTTCAAATAAATCATGCTATCGTATTCCCAAAATGGTGATAGTGGGACAAACAAAATGTTTCAAAGTTTGAGGGATGGGGGTAATAATTGAACAGAATTGTGTAGAATTTTACTAATTTTATAGGTCTGAAGTGGAAAACCCAGTATCATCCCTCTTTTCTTGTGGGTTAATAATTCAAATGTAGTAACTGTTCCTGTGCACAGTATGAAAACCATTGTGCTCTGAGCAAGGAAGGCGGTGTCCTTCAGACACCTAACAACTGGTGTAGATGTTGAAAGGGGTTTTGCCCACTGTTCCCTACCCTGTTAGGAGGACAGACAACCATTACCACACAGAGTAGTTTACTGAGGTGTGTATTTCAGAAGTGTTGCTGGCTTTACTTCATGTTAGAGACAACATTGTAAATGGTGGCACTGTGAAGTTAGTACGTTTGACATATTCTGAATGTCCTCTTGTACCAGGTTGCCTCAGTCAATGCTTTTCAGGAATGTAAACTGTTTGAATTGGTAAAATGATGTGTGGTTTGGTTATTATTATGTGGTGGCATGTTTTCTTTTGAGAACAAGCAGAAGTGTGCCTTGGGAAAGATGAGAGCGCTATGACCAGGCTTTTGTAGCACGGTTTATTAGTACTTGTCATAAAAAGAGACCAGAAAGCTTCAAAATGCTGATCGGTTGAAACTTTTCTTTCAGAGTACTTTCCCCTGAGAGTGCTGTCCTCAGGCTGTCTCTGAGCTATGATCTCAGAGCCCCAGTTGTCATTTCTGTGGTAGTATTTGTTTTGTCAGAAATGAGACAGGTAGGTCTTAACGTGGTCTGTTGTCAGTATATTCATTTTGATGACCCACCAAACTGATAGTTGAGCAACTGTTTTTACACTGTTAAGAACTGAGTCCCAGAGCTCCCTGATAATTCTGAAGACCTACAGAGAATTAGCATTTGTGGGACTTGGTGTAATTTGGAAAGAATATGCATAATGTATTGAGTTCAGGTTTTATTTATTGTATTAGATAATTTTCTTAATGGTGGGTGGACAGACCGTGGTATTACACTGTTCTTTGGGGCAGGTGGTGTGATGTGGATTATGGGGTTTGCTTTTTTGACTTATCTCTCAAGAACTCGCCAACAAAGTTGACAAGCAGGTATTTCTTACGGTGCCGGGAGACATGGGGAATAGCTCCTCCTAACGTGTCTCTGCCGAAGTGCTAAACAAGCCGTCCATATATAGTCACTAAGCCTACATATTCATTACATACATGCATATTCATGAGGTTACTTATGTATTACGTCATTTCTCTAGACAGTTTCTCCTGCATGCGCACACAAATGTGGTAGTGGGCTTTGGGTGCTGTTTACTTCTTCCAACAGTCTTCCTCATTTGGCCATTCCTTGACCTTTCATCCTGGCAGTCTTTGCAGCATGCACAGTAGATAAATGCTTACTCCAGCTTAACTGGTTTAGTAACACCACTGACATAATTGAATGATTTCTCCCCATCCTTCTACTTATCAATTAACTCAGCTACAACTCATCCTAAACATCTTCTAGTTTAGATAATCTTCATCTACATGTCCTGTTTTGCTTATGATTAATATTGTACAAGGTTATGGGGTCCTAGAACTACATCAACTACGGTCATTTATCTTTTACAAGGATGACCACTAAGCAGAACTAAACTTACTTACTTATAATAGGTTATATTTCAACCTGTTTTCTCTGTTTCAAACTGCTTAATCCTACACTGAAGGAAATCGCTGCCATACTGTCTGAAATAGTGATTAAATTTTATCTAATATCTAAAGGGAACCCTTGAACCATAGGGAACTAATCTGTCTTTTTCCATTCAAAATCCTTGGAATTTAAGGGAATAGTAATTTAAATTTGAAGAATATATTTCTCAAATAATAAAATCATTTCAAGGATGAGAGATACAAGTGCAGTGGAGCAGCAAATTATATGGGGGTTGTCATTTTCAAAATGCATGGGGTTTTGTGTGTGTTATTAGCTTTGTTTATATTTTAACAAAAAAATGACTCACTGCATGAAGTGGGATCAAGGGGGAATGGACAAACACTGCTCATGTGTGAGACGACAAATTACAAGCTTGTCTAAGCTAACCATGAAGTATGCTTCTGCTTCATTTATCTTGTCCCGAATGCAGTCACGTGAAAGAAGGAAAAGAGTGGTCACTTAAAGTAGGTAACGTTATTGATCTGCATGTCCTGGAAGATGATCGGCTCCGACGACATCGGGCTTGTGAATTTCCTTTGGCTTAATTTAACTATTAGGATCGGGATCTGACCATCAGCAATTCATGAGGCGATGAACCTCCTTTAACTAGGTTTCAGTGTGATAAACGGTACGGTGCAGTGAGGTGTTTACAACTTGTTTTGGCTTATTCTTGCTTTACAGATGTTGTGAAATCATTCAGACAACTAAAAACCATCACTCACCATAGGAGCCAGTGATCGGTAGGTGGAGAGAAGGCAAATCTCATGCTTGTTCGGAGCATTGCTGCAGCACAGAGAGAGGCTGGAGCTCGCGGCGGTGACTACTGCTTTGAAGCAGCCTGCAGCTCGGGGCAAGCACGGAGGACCCTTGCTCACATTTAGCACTAAGTGGTTCAATAAGGCCATTTAAATGATAGTTTAAATTCAGGGACATGACATGCACCGAGCCACGGTTGTTTCTTCCCTGCTGCACTTAAAGCCTCAAGGTTGACACATCTCTGACCTCATGCAATGACTTTGCTCCTCAAACAAAGGCTTTCCAGCATAAAAGGTGTATCTATCAGAGGACGGCCAGCACGCCGGGAACCAGAGCCAAGCGCAGAGGGCCAGAGGCATGCCGAGACGGATGTGGTGCCTGTCCCCGCCCGGCGGCCCGGGGGAGGTGCTGGGCCGGGCTGAGCCGCGCCACGCCGCCTCCTGCCGCTGCCAGGGGCGAGGGCTGGTGCTGCCGGGCTGTGAGTACGGGCTGCGGGGAGGGAGCGGGGCTCGGGTTTGCTGTACACCGACTATCGGTGTACAGCAATGACACGAGTGCCGCCGCCCGCTCTGCCGGCGTACCGGCTGAAGGCAAAAGAAGGGGCCGCGGCCTACGCAGGCGCTCGGGCAAGCGCTGAGGGCACCGTGCCCTCAGCCAAAATGGCGGCGCCACCTCACGTAAAGGCGGAGGGCGGGAGCGGTGGTGGTTGCGGCCGCTCCGCGCCGAAGGGCGGTGCGGGCCCTCAGGGGAAACGGCAGGGCCATGGCGGTGCCTCCGCGGCTGCTGAGGGGGATGGCGGGGAAGTGCGTTCTCCCTGTGTGTGCATGCGCGGCGGGGTGAGGCGGTCCCGCATCGGTAACAGTGCGCGTTCGTGAGGGGTTTAGGGTTTCTCGCTTCAAGGGTAGCTCCGTTTCTGAGGCCGCCTCGCAGTTGTGCTGAGAGAGTGGTTGGGTTTGGGGCTGACGCTCACTGGAAAGCTGGGAATAAGCTTCATTCCGATGCCTTTCTGTCTGTAGGAGCTGCTGTGGTGAGAGGTGCCAGAGTGGAAATGTGGAGTTTTACTCACTGCTTTGTGTGTCAGAATAAATTTGTGGTGGTGAGGACTTCTGTGAGGAGGGCTGGTGTCACTGGCCTCCTCTAGCCCTGAAGAGAGTCAGTGGGTCAGGTTGGAAGACATTGGGCTTTTTGGCTGAGAAGAAGGGGGAGAGTTTGGTAATGCTGGATATTGACTGGGCCAGAAGCAGTTAATTGTGGCTGTACTGGGATTTGTGCATAACGTGAGGGTGATTTCGACTGCTTTCAGCCCGGCCCTGCAGTTGTGCTGGCACAGCCTAAAGCTGCCTTTTTCTTGCTCTTTAATGCCAGATTGCTTCAGCATGCAGTTTAGGTAAGAATGATAGGAGCATGTGTTTATAGTTGGGAGTCAAATCAATTAATTTCACTATTTATAGTGGATATTTATTGCCTGCCATAAAAAAAAATTGTGTTGTTTGCTGTGATATTGAATCCTATGTCTTTTTAAAGCCAGCCCCAATTCAGTTAAATAACTGCTGTCGTACTTGGGGAGATGTACTAAAGTATTATGAATGTGGAGGAATAAACTTGAAGAGGTGCAGCATAGTAAATCTCTAGTAGAACTACAAGACATAGACATTTCTAGGTCCTTCTGGCTCTAGAATTGTAACTTGTAGCCTGTCTGTGTAATGCTGAAACTTCACCAGGATGTAGTTGGGTATTCACTAAGTTTGCACTGGAAGTTGGAAACTGGAGAGGACAGAGCTGTGCAACTCATGACTGTAAAATAGTGGGCTTCCTCTCTGTGTTAAAATACTTATTGGGAGCCAGACTTGATGGGTTTTATATATGTCTGTAAGCATGGTGGGTGGCTTTTACATTTTAACAGTAACTGTGATGAAGAGGGAGGTTTGCATATGGCAGTAGCAGGAGTTCTCACTTTGCTATGGATGGTGAGTATTGTAAATGAGCTTTAAGTGACTAGCTCAGAGAAGGGCTTGCATGTGGCGGGAAATCCCACCAACTTGTGAGGTGGTGGTGCGGACAACTTGAGTGCTGCTGTTCTCCCATGCTGAGACCTAAAATCATCCGAGGCTGTAGGCTGGATCCCCGAAGGCGAAGGAAAGGACTTAAACTCTTTGGTGAGACTTGTGCTGAGGTTTCTGCTGCTTGTGCTTTACAGTACTGGTTGCTGTTGTGCTAAATCTACTACAAAGCTTCAGTGTATACTGTTGCAAAGATCTCTTTTGACTGTCTTTATCCTTGGCTATGTGATAACAATCTTCTCTTTTGCTTACACTTGATAGGAATAATGTTTCCAACATGTCTGTGCAGTCGCTGCTTTGTGAAAGAATTGCTCTTGCCAAAGAATTGATCAAGAGAGCAGAAGCCCTTTCCAGGTCCCAGAAAAGGAGAATAGAAGGTGGGGCAAAACTGTGCAGCAAACTGAAGGCTGAGCTAAACTTCTTACACAAGGTAGAAGCAGGGAAGGTGGCCATTAAAGAATCCCATCTGCAAAGTACAAACCTTACCCATCTCCAGGCCGTTATTCAGTCAGCGGAGAACCTGGAGGATGTTGTCAGTGTCCTCCATGTCTTTGCTTATGAGGACAGGTTTGGAGACAAGCAGACGCTCGTGGTGGATGTTGTTGCAAATGGAGGTCACACATGGGTGAAGGCCATCGGCCGTAAGGCTGAGGCTCTGCATAACATCTGGCTGGGGAGAGGCCAGTATGGTGACAAAAGCATCATTGAGCAGGCAGAGGACTTCTTGCAAGCAAGCCATCAGCAGCCAGTGGAGTACAGCAATCCCCACATAATCTTTGCCTTCTACAACAGTGTGTCAAGTCCTATGGCAGAGCGGCTCAAGGAGATGGGAATATCTGTGCGAGGAGACATTGTAGCTGTGAACTCACTGGCAGAGCCATCCACAGAAAACCAGCACCTTAGCACCAGTGAATCGGATGAAGAAGGCCCTGAACTCCTACAGGTGACCAGAGTAGACCGGGAGAATTTAGTGGCCAGAGTTGCTTTTCCTACCCAGATTAAAGTAAACATGTGCAATAGAGTTAACTTGGACATCACTACCTTAATAACCTACGTCTCTGCTCTGAGCTATGGTGGCTGCAACTTCATCTTCAAAGAGAAAGTGTTAACAGAGCAAGCAGCTCAGGAAAGGAGGGAGAGAGTCCTGCCTCAGCTGGAGGAGTTCATGGAGGGGAAGGAGCTCTTTGCCTGTGAGTCTGCTGTCAGAGATTTTCAGTCCATCTTGGAAACGCTGGGAGGACCTGGGGAGAAAGAACGAGCTGCGATGCTTGTGAAAAGAATTCAAGTGGTGCGAGATCAGCCATCTGACCGTGCCTTAGGACTAGTGGCTAGTTCAAAAATCAACAGCCGTTCTCTAACCATTTTTGGGACAGGAGACAGTTTAAAAGCCATCACCATGACTGCAAATAGGGGTTTTGTGAGGGCAGCAGCTAACCAAGGTGTCAGGTTCAGTGTTTTTGTCCATCAGCCACGGGCATTGACAGAAAGCAAGGAATCTGTTGCCACACCTTTACCAAAGAGCTGCCCACCTGGTAATGGACTATAAGTCATTGAATGAGTCATTGGAATGCTGCAGGGGAGGCATTTGGGGAAACAAGAATCCTAGCAATGCATTTTTGGGTGTGCATCAGTGAAAGCAGTGACTGTAGCAATGGAAGGGCCCCTCAAGGAATTTTCAGTATCCTTACTCAGCCCTGGGGGGATATTTTGTTCAGCTGACCATTAATTTATTCACTAAGGTACTAAGATTTCAGTGAAAATTGTTAACTGGTTTATAGCATGTTTTATCCATCCCTATTAAAAAGTTCAGTTAAAGCACAGTTGTTGTGCCCTTGTCAATTTTGTCCTCTTCAGGGAGATTAAATTCAGCACCTTAGATGGACTTCAGACTTGGCTTCTGTGGAACTTAAATCTTTCATTCATCTGACTAAATTCGTTGTTGATTCGGGGGTACTTTGTGTACAGAATTATGCCTTTTTTGGGTGTATGTTGTTTCATGAATTCATGACTAGTGTCTGCAAATAGAAACCAACTTAATTCTTCCTTTCCTGAAAGGAACCTCTGCATGTGTACCATGTTAGACTGAATTGGGCAGCAGCTTTAAAATTCCCTTAAAAATCAGTTGAAATTGGAGTTTATTGGCACTAATATGTTGTGACTCTTGGGCTGAACTGGACATCCAGTGGTAACAGATCAAGGAGGCAAATCCAATTCCCTTTTCTCTTGGCCTTTGCCAAATACAGAGTCTTGCTGGGTGCAAAACTCAGCCTGAGGCTTTGAGATAGCAGAATGCTCCTAAATTGAGCCAGCACCCAGGTGGGTTCTAATACTAATGAGCTCCCTGCTGAGGACTCATGGTGAGCTCAAATTCTACTTTGTTATTTGAGGTTTACCTGAACCAAAGCCTCACTGAGGTCCTTCAGTGTTGGTGTGGCAGAGGAGGAGGTTTCTGGGACATGTTGTTAAACGCTAGTTTGCTCTGTAGTAGGGAGAAGCTTTTTCACTGGTGTTTTTTGCTGGCTTTACTCAAAAGTGTAGACTAAACAATTCCTTATTTGACTTTTTTTTTTTTCAGGAGAGAATTGCATTTTGAGAAGTCTTTCTAATGTGTTTCTGTATGCAGTAATGACAGGAGTTGCTGTTTGGTATGAAATTGCATCAGGTTCCTAGCGGAAAATATTGAGATGCCAGAGTGAATTCTTGGTCCCAGTCTATACATTTTATCAGGTCAGTGAACGAGATACTCACTGAATATTTTCCAGGCTGTTGTTCAGTAAGATATCATTATTATGCATCTTATAATTCAGGCAAAGAACATTTCCTTGCCTCTTGCCACTACACTCTTAATTTCTTTTGTTAGTACAGAGTGGCTGCAGTGCTGCCCTTAGCCAGAGTCTAAATGTGTTTCTTTCTGTCTCCAGTGCTCTGGTATACTCCAGCACTGGTGTAAAGATACTGGCATGCCAGCAAAGCCACTCTGCATACCTCTTCCAGCTAAGTAATCTTGACTCCAAGGAGCAACAGTGTACTTTTGTCAGTATCACTCTTGCTCTGACAGCACTATGCCTTTAGAGTAACCTGTTAGGAGTTGTCACCAGTATCCAAGTGCTGCATATCTTTACCTGTAGCTCCTAACAATGCAGAGGCCATTCTGTTCTTTACTTGCACCTCATTTCTGCTGGTCACTGGGGTAGTTCATGCAGTTTAGTTAAGATGAATGGAACTGGATTTCGTTGGTTGCTGCTTCAACATCCAGTCTTCTACCTGCCAGTTTCACAGTTCTCCCTTGGTGAATTGTTCTAGCAAAACATGTAGCTTGTTCCTACAGTCTTAACACGGTGTAACGAAACCTCATGGCAGGACACATGCCCCACTGGATCCACTAATTCTCCTGGAAGTTCTGAAGGGAAAGGAGGACCAGAGCAATGAAATTACATAGATATTGACTGTCTGCCTTAATGATTACAGTTCAGGCTTCATCAAGCAGGAGCTTAGGGAGACAATGCTTTATCATGGCATGATGGATTCACCAGAGCACAAACGGATGCTCACGTACATGTCCCAGTACTATAAAGAGCTGCCTTTTGTTTCTGCCATGGAGTTCTTACTCTGGACACATCTGTGATGTCTTTCCTCTGCATGAGGTATGGGAGAAGGGAAGAAAAAAGGACACTGTGTTTCAAAACTGTTTCTGTTTGATACCAAAGTCCTAAAAGAAGGTACATGTTACTATTCTTGGTGCATAATTTATAAACAAACAACCTGAGAGGGGTGTTCTTTTTGTTTGCAACTCAGAGCTTTAAAATCTGGGGTCCCAACAAACACCTTACTATATATCACTGGTTAATCTGTTTTATGATCTTCCAGGATATACCCAAAGCTAAATGCATGGTAACAGTGCCGTTATACATGGTAATTCATTATGACCTTTTAAGAACTGATCCTTTAAGTTACTTTTAATTTACTTGCAACCTTCCTACCCTGATGAGGGTTTGAATGAGTAATGGAAAACAGCTGCTTCATTCCACTTCAGCTCTGTTTAAAAGCCTCTGTCTCTGGAGCCATCTTGTGGTGATTTTTTTCATTACCAGTCTTTTGCCCAACACAGTATTTGTTACTGAATGCATTTTCTTTCTTTTACCAGTTTACCAATCATATGAGCAATTTTACAGGAATATGAAACTCTAGAAATTGTGTAATGTATTTTAGTTGTAATATTTGGTGTCCTTTGTGTTGCCTTCCAAGATATTAGTGATCTCTATATATCAGCTGATGTTCTGGCTTGGTGTGTTTAGACTGTACTTCATTTCACAGTCGGGGGATTAGATGTTGCGCTTATTTATGATTTGAGAAATGAGTAATTAGAAGATACCAAATAATGCTTGAAATTAAGCAAGTTAGCTGATGACACTGAGCTGCGTGGTTCGGTTGATACGCTGGAGGGAAGGAATGCCATCCAGAGGGACCTTGATGCACTTGTGAGGTGGGCTGATGAAGTTTAACCATGCCAAGTGCAAGGTCCTACACGTGGGTCGGAGCAATCCCAGGCACAGCTACAGGTTGGGCAGAGAAGAGATTCAGAGCAGCCCTGCGGAGAAGGACTTGGGGGTGTTGGTTGATGAGAAAATGAACATGAGCTGGCTTCAGTGTGCGCTTGCAGCCCAGAAAGCCAACCGTATCCTGGGCTGCATCAAAAGGAGTGTGACCAGCAGGTCAAAGGAGATTATCCTGCCCCTTTACTCTGCTCTTGTGAGACCTCCCCTGGAGTATTGTGTGCAGTTCTGGTGTCCTCAGCATAAAAAGGACATGGAACTGTTGGAACAAGTCCAGAGAAGGGCCACGAGGATGATCAGGGGACTGGAGCACCTCCTGTATGAAGACAGGCTGAGGAAGTTGGGGCTGTTCAGCCTGGAGAAGAGAAGGCTGCGTGGAGACCTCATAGAAGCCTTCCAGTATCTGAAGGGGGCCTATAGGGATGCTGGGGAGGGACTCTTCATTAGAGACTGTAGTGACAGGGCAAGGGGTAACGGGTTAAAACTTAAACAGGGGAAATTTAAATTGGATATAAGGAGGAAATTCTTTCCTGTTAGGGTGGTGAGGCACTGGAATGGGTTGCCCAGGGAGGTTGTGAATGCTCCATCCCTGGCAGTGTTCAAGACCAGGTTGGATGAGGCCTTGGGTGATATGGTTTAGTGTGAGGTGTCCCTGCCCATGGTAGGGGGGTTGGAACTTGATGATCTTAAGGTCCTTTCCAACCCTAACTATTCTATGATTCTATGAAATCCAAGACTGCTCATCTTCCAGTATCACATCACTGCTTTGTCTACACTATAGCAGGCACTCAAGGGTACAGAGGTGTCTCACTTGCTGCTATGGATTCTGTTTGGGATTTTCAGTGTCCTTGGCAAAGGTGGATTCCTGAATTGTTTTGGAGGAATAGTTCTTCTGGCACTTTTAATTTACTGTACATTATCTCTGTATGGTCCCACAGTCTTTGAGGGGAGCCAGCATCCGTGTTCTGTGGAGCACTCAGCCTGCTCTTTTAGCTCCAGCAGTAAGAATGCCAGGCCAGGAGTGCTGCAGTTGATGCCAGGCAGTGGAAAGTACTTGGCTATTATATGAGAAATAAATAGGTAAGTTGTTAATACATTCGTGTTTCTAATTTGCCTTCTACACTTTTGTCAAAGGCAAACTTATTTCGGGACACAGCTGTGTATATCCTTTACTTACTGTTGTTCTGCCTGACAAAATTTGCAGATCAATGACTTTGTCATTGTACCTGCAAGCTGTGACGATGCTCAGAGGTAGTTTTGGGTGTTGCAACCACAGCTGTTTAGAAGTGTTATTCTTTGGTAGCTTAATGGCTAAACAGTGGGTTGTGTTTCAAACTTGTCCCCCTTACCTGATGGTGCCTTCAGCAGACTTAAAGCAGTCTGCTGAAGTCATCTGGAGCCTGTCTGGAAATACTTCCACAACCCACTTCCTAGGTCCTGAAAACTGAACGTAGGCTTGGTCACAACAGTAATACACCAAAAAGACCCACAATCATCAGTTCTTTGAGATAAGTTTGAGAAAAAAACTAGAAAAAAAATACCTTAAAGTCTTTCTTTTTGTTCAGGTGGAGGTTTTACAATAATACAAAGCATGTAGTTGCAATGACATTCTTTATTTCAGGTTATTCTGCAAGCAGAGCAGCACAGGTCACCTCTTAGGTAATTAACCTTGTACAGTAAGCATGAACTAGACAGGGTTCTTGACCTGAAGGCTGTAGTTACAGTTTTCCTGCAAGCTGTAGTTTTAGGAACTACTCCACCATCCAGCTTGCTGCAGGCACTGCCTGTGTGTTCTTGTGTGGCGAAACCAACTCTGTTAGGTATATGTGGCTGTTTCTTTTCCACCGAGATTTAATATGGTAATTTATTCTAGAGTAAAAGCAAAGAAAGTTAATGTAACACTACAGCAGAACTGCTCGGAACTGTGACTGTGGGGCTGTGCACATTGTTCCCTATGAACACCACAGAAATTAAGATTGTTCCTACTGAAACTATTGTAAAGAATTAAACACACACACACGCTCAAGCCTTCATTGTTCAGAAGCTTCTTCTGTCCGTTTTAAAGATCCTTGCTCACAATGCCTTAAAATCTACCAAAAAAATCTACCAAAAAAAACAAGAACCCCAAAAGCCAAAATAACACAACCAATGACCCCAATCTAACCAAAGAAACCCAAAAGAATTAACAGTACCTGATAATGAGTCTGAGTGCATGGTAAAGCAGCTCACTGCGGATGAGAAACACCACAGGGCACAGCAGTTTTGGTAGGTACCAAAATCAAGGGGCTAGAAGAGTGAGTAACATGAGTACTTGATCGTGTCTTTTTGCTGAGGTTCATCACATCCATTTCCTGAAGCATCTGACGTCTCAACACTGCTCTAGTGGTAGCAGTAGTGAAGATGATGGATTTCCCTGGGCTTGCTGTAAACTACCATAGTGCTTCCTAGTTATGTTGGTGGTAGTAATGCTGGTTAATATGGGGGGGCTGTTTTCCGAAACCACACTAGACATGATACTATAATTTGCAGTTTTCCTAGCACAGATAATAGCCCTAAATGCTGTTGAGGTGTGTGGGAAAAACTCCTCAAAGGAAAAGTGTCCAGGGGAAAATGCTCTCAAAAAATGAGGCAGCTGATGTGAACAGGAGTGAAGGAATATGGAAGGTTAAGTCAGTGTTAGATTGTCTTGCTAGCCAGACTAAAAGCATGGCAGGAATGGGTGAGTATGGGGGAAAAGTAATCCTTTGGTGTATCCGCTTCCGTGCCCTGTGTCCTGTTGTAAGCTATGGTGAAGTTGCTCATAGCTCTAAAGGAGAAAGGGTGATGTATCACACAACCTCCTTACTACATATGGATGGATGGATGATAGGAGACCCTCTGCTGATTTGCAGTCACTGCATTTCTGACTTCAGGTTTTTTCTTTTGTAGGGGATAATTTAGCCTGTCTTTACAGAGATGAGGTTCACCAGAGTGAAATGTCACTCAGGCAGACCACAGCCTTTCTAACAATGAAACTCTTACCATATAAATCTGGGTTTGTTTTCTGTTTGGTTTTGCTTGATTGACTGCTTTTCCCCTACATTAGGAATGCACATTACAAGCCAGCATTGGCTATATCCACAAGAGAAACCTCTTTCATGGAGAGGGGAAGTGCAGCCTCCTTTCTTCACACACATACAGCTGTCAAATGCACTCGGCAATAATAGCACAATTCATCTTAAGGAGTCTCACCTTCCTCTCTGTTACTAGCAATTTATTTATGGTTTAGGAAGAAGGAGAGGAGCAGAAGTGGTAGATCTTTGGCATGCCAGATACCCTGCCAGAAATAGACTACAAGGAAAAACAGCGTTTTGCAGGACAGGTAGGAGCATTGGAGTAACAAAATAGAGGTAACAGTAACAAGGACAGTCAAAACCAAAATGTGTCTTACCAGATATTTCGGTGGTTGACTCCTGGGTTGGTTCTTTGCTTGGGTCCATGCTTGGCTCAGGGGTAGGTTCAGTACTTGGCTCTCCGCTCAGCTCCCAAGTGGCCTGTTCACCTTCTTGCACTCCATTATTCCCAACTTGCTCCGTGCCTTCCTCCTTGTATGGGTCTCTGCTGTAGGGCAGGGGCAGCTCTGTGCTTGGTTGTATGCTGGGATCTCTGCTTTGCTCCACACTTGTTGTCTCAAGCACAGGAGTAACAGGGGTACCTACAAATAAAATGGAAGGAATTTACATGGATGAGGAGGATGGTTTGAAAAGCCAAGTTACTTCAAAGGCTATCTAAGAATGTACATAGTTGCTTTTATGGATCAGAGAGACCAAGTAGGAGTTTGAGGGAGGGGGGGAATAAATCTGGGAATAATTACACTCTAGAACATGAATCTTATTTCAAGTTACAAAGATTGATTTGCCGGTATGGCTTTGACTCACCTTGTGCCTTTAGCAGATCAACCAGAATCAGTGCCAGCAGTGCTGAAAGGGTTGTCATCTTCTTCAGCATGGCTGCCTAAACACTACGTTAAGCATGAGCGTTTGGAGTGAAGCTTGAAGTACACAGCAGACAGAAAGCCCTGGCTATTTAAAGGCAAGCTCATGCCTCAGCGCACCTTCTTGAGAAGAACAGGTTGCGAAAACAGCATCCAAATTACATTCTCAGAATGAATTTAGGGCCTACCTCTCGGGGACTGTAATCAGTCAGTTCCTGCCCCTTGCTACAGGGTGAGATAACCTTTACCTCAAGCAGTAAAGGACATTTGGGGGCAGAGAGGTGGGGAAGTGGTGGCCCCAGACTATGGTAGCATAGATAGTAGTGTCATTGAGTGCCTCGGGCAATGCTGGTTGCTCAGGGCAATTGATCCTGTTGGTTTTGAATATGGACCTTCAAAAATCCTTTGATACGACACTTGACAGATTGAACATGCCTCGCAGTAATAGGTGAAAGGTGATGTGTGACTAAAAACTATGCAGCTGGCTTCTGTGTTGTAAGGAAATAACAACAGTGTGAAAGAGCTGGGATGTTTTGGTCTGAGGCTGGATGAGCATTTTGTTGGGAAGCCTTCCTTTGTCACTGTTGGAAACTTGTGTGCTTGTGCATGCGTGTATCCAGCCTGTGACAGGCAGTATCTCAGCCCCAAAGTGATGGATGCATTTGAAAGGCTTGGACAGAGCCGGATAAATCCTCCAGAGAGGAGCCAGCTGCTTTGTGTGGCTTAATCAGCAAAGCACAATCCTTGTTCCAAGGACCATTTCTGATGCAGAAAAGATGCTCTGTTTGCATGGATACAGCCCCCCATGACCTTCCCCATCACCACTAACCAGGGAACTGAACCATGGCAAGAGACTCTCAGGTTGTGGCAAATGTAACTGGCTTAGTTAGGTTTTGGGGTCTGCCAGGGGAGCAGTGGGCCTCAGGTCTGTGTGTTCAACTCTGTGATGAAAACAGAACTGTGGGCCTGGTTCTGTATGTTACGTTCATATGATTGAGTGCTGTAATTACTGTAAGTAGCAATCCTGCAATAATTAGCAGAATTGGGTTAATGTCAAGTCAACGTAAAGGAATTCAGAATCTGGCTCTCAGGATTCCTCCCCCCACCCCGTTTCCCTGATTTCACTTGTTTAATATTGCATCAACTGAGTTTTTCAGTGTAGTGTTTCTTTCAAGTTGCTTTTACCTCTAGGGTTTGCCTGAGGCATTATTCCTCTAATCAAGCTTCTTATGTTGCAACAGAAGGGGTTTCTTTTTTTCTTGAGGTGAAAAAGAAACACTGATGTCCACAAACACCTACAGATACGTGGCTGCTGCAGAGGGTTTCTCCTGTGTTACCAGTTTCAATTGAAGGTTGATGTGTAACATCTTTTCTGTTTTTTCAAATGTGAATGGAAGAATTTGCCGCTCACTCACTTGTAAGAGGTAACAGCACGATGCACGGGTCAGAAACCTGAAGGTAACTATCTGCAATGAGCAACATTCTTCAGTATAGACTAAGAACTCTTGTTTTTTGCTCTTGAAAGTGTTTTTCTAACACACAATTGTTTTTATGAGGTGATGGGCCTGCCAGTTGTGAAAAAAAGAGCAAACGTAGAATCATAGAATCACAGAATGGTTTGGGTTGGAAAGGACCTTAAGATTATCTAGTTCCAACCCCTCTCTATGGGCAGGGATGCCTCACACTAGACCACTGAGTTATTACTGTGCAAGGAAAGAGGAATTGTTGTGTTACTCCCTTAGTGGATCTCAAGTTTGTTTCTGATTTATCTTCCCTTCTCACGAGGCTCACTGGGCAGAGTGGCCCATCTTGCTCTTCCCAGATCTCTCCTGTTTGTTTCTAACAAATGTAAGTGAATCTGAGCATTTTAAAGCAGGGTTGCAGGTTAGATGTTACATTCACTTGTTTTTCACTGCTGTTTAGAGTTGTTAAGGAGAAATCTCAAAGAGCAGTAATGAAGGTACAAATTTTGAGTAGGAGTTCTCCCTGTTTGGGCTTTTGTGTGGCTTGGATTTTCTGGTTTAGTTTTCTGTTGGTTTTGTTTAGAATCAGTACAGACCCTGGCACTATTCAACATCTTCAGTGATCTGCAAGTAAATAGTTAACATTGCTGAAAGAACTAAGAAATGAAGATTCCTGAAGAGTAAGTAATGGTGAGGACAGAGGTGTGTTACAGGTTTATTGCATTTAGCTACATTATTTTCAATAGACCCCAGCCAACAAGGCAAGTTACATGTACAGGTTAAAGGAATAAAAGCCATACTGAAGCAGTGGAGGCTGCATCCTGGGAAACAACTCTTTCCTTCCCCAAGTTCCTGAATTTGGCCCTCAGTCCAGATGTTAACATCCATTATAGAATGTAACTAAGCTAGAGAGGGTAAAGAAATGAACCATAAATGTTTATTGGTGGAAAAAAATCCCTCTCTATGAAGGGAGAAATCCTTTCAGATACCATATTTGTGTATTTTATTGAAAAGAAGGATGGAGGAGTGACTTATGGCTTGTAGTTTTACTGGGGGGGGTGGGGGGAAAAGGAGAATGCAAGGTCCTAAAGCAGTCATTAATGGCACGGGCAGAGGCATAACCAGAGACTGGCTTGATGCCAAAGCAAAACAAATGGTTTAGGTAGAAATCAGGGACTATGAGGGAGCTGAGTGGTATAAAAACCCCTGATGGATTAAAAAACCTGTAGGTATGATTATCAAATGGCTCCTCTTAGCCTTGTGTTCTCTTGACTCTCAATTGTCCAGGTTATGTATTGATATTGGACTCCTATGGAGAAGCAAATATGACTTTAATACTATGGAGATGGATCACCAGTTCCTCTGTGGGGTGGTGGAAGACGGTTGGTCTCACCGTTAAAATGCAGGAGGTGGCAGCACACCAGAGATATTTGTACAACCTGTCGATAAGCCGTGTTCAGCTCACTCGTATGCAGAAGCTGTGCAAGCGTCCACAGAACATCTTTAGTCAGGAGAATAAAAGTGAATTCTGCCTTAACTGCATTAGAGTTTTGGAGGATATCTGACAGAAACCTGGCAGTGATTGAAACTGTCTGCTAATCCCTGGGGCAGGATAGGTTGTGATGATACTGTCTTATACCATCTCTGTGAAGGTACTTCTTTCTTTCTCTGTACCCATTTAGTCCAGGTGCCTTGATTGATATGGAGACTCTCACCTGGAACTCTGGTAGGTGTAAGACAGGCAGTTCTTCTTACACTTCTGTGCCTGTGCAGTGCCTGGAGGTGAAAGCTTCTTCTGCATTTTAACAATCCAATGCTAGTATTCCAAAGGTGCGTGCTGTGCAAGCAGGCGTGGTGTTAAGAGGTTTTGATAGCAAGTAACTGAAGCAAGCTGTGATATGTAGCCTCCCTCACCTCCAAATTGGGGCATGTAGTGCAAGGTATTTATTAAAAGTGTTTTCATGAAGTAAGAATACTGTGATAAAAGATACTAAAATAACTTTAAAAATTTAATTTCTTTCCTCCCCTGCTGATGTTTGTTACATTTCTTTCAGCTCAAAGCAAGCAAGGGTGATGAAGTTCAGTGGAGCTAGGATCAAAGCAAGGGACAGTCAGGTGGTGCAGGAACTAGTTGTCAGAAGTTCACACAGGCTCAAGAGAAGACTGCAGGTAAAATTGATGGTAACTAAATACATGGAAGCAACATCCAGCCTGTGTGATCCTCAGATGAAACATAGGATCATAGCATAAATCAGCCTGGAATGGGTCTCGGGAGGTCTCTAGTCCAGTATCTTGCAGAAAGCAGGGTCACACCAACTCCCACCAGTTTAGTCAGAGATTTATTCAGTCTTTTGTTGAAAGCCTCCAGGGACAGAGCCTGACAACCTGCCTGGGCAGCCTGCTCTGATGCTTGATAGTCCTCATGGTGAAAAGGTGTTTCCTTATATTCAATCTGAACTTCCCTTGTTTCAACTTACACCTGTTCTCTCTCGTCCTTCCTCTGGCTACCACAGTCAAGCTTGGCTTTTGTAACCTTCATAAATAGATGGAAAGTGAGAGAGTGTTAGAGATTGACATATTCTTTGTGTTTTATGTGCATATTGTATAAAGACTTGTAAATTCTTACCTTTCTCTGGGCACCAGCTTATGGCCACCTTTGCAAACAGAGCACTAGGCTAGGTGGATCCTTGGTTGGACTGGGTTATGTTAAACATATTGCCTAGTATCCTTTGTTGGACTAGTGTAGCAGGGAAAGCTGTGGATCCTAATTTGGGTATCTGAAATAGTTGCAGAACACTTAAAACTTAATGTAGCTGCAGAATCTTTTTAGGCAGAACAATTTTTAGCTTTGCAGTCTTACCAAAGGAGGTCAATTGGGAAATAGTTTAATTTACAGAAGTAGACTCAGTGCTGGAGACCTGTGAAATCAGATTGCACAACACAGAAACTCCTGTTTGGAAAACAAGCTATTTTTTTGTTAGCAGCAAGGACCAGATTTTCTGGAAAGGTGAAGGATGCTGAGACTACTTCATTCTTCTCTTGTGAGCTGAGGGTTCTAGGTGCCCTAAGGCATGTTATGTCAGATATAACTATTTATGCTCTGGGAAAAGGATCAGTGGTAGTGTCCCTTCTGGTACTTTATTTATACTTTGCAAAGAGTTTTCTCCCTTTTCATGGGGATTAGCTTGGGAGAAAAAGTCAGAGATTCTGTTTCTTCACAGTCAAATTCCACAGAAAGAAGAGTTACGTGGACCAAGTGCTCAATGTTCAAGCTGGCTTCATGGAGTGAATGATTTTTGTCAGTTTGGTTTGTTAATGAGGCACATCTTGACCTTCTCTGGAGAAGATGGGAAAAAATACAGTCAGGATGGTTTTCATACAGCTATGGATAGGCTGAGTTACATATCAAAAGATCTAAATATAACTGTTTGAAATCATGTTTTGTGATTCAGGCCTGACTTTCAGCACTACCTGGGACTCGACCACTTTTTCTTTTCCTCCCTGAAGTCCAGTGTAATATATGAAGTTATGGCTGCCTCATCCCTGGCAGTGTTCAAGACCAGGTTGGATGGGGCTTGGAGCAACCTGCTGTAGTGGAAGGTGTCCCTACCCATGGCAGGGGGTTGGAACTGGATGAGCTTTAAGGTACCATCCAACCCAAACCAGTCTGCAATTCTATGAAAATGGATGTGCAGTTTGTAGTGGTATTCTGCTGGGGAAAGACAAACGGGGTTAGTTGATGCATGGATTTGGTAGCATGTTTAGTAGGAGATGAAGGCTTGGGTATTTTTCCGGCTTTTATCAACATGATAATTTCCATGCTCCACTCTGTATTCTTCTTCCATGTCATTTCATCTCTCAACAGCATCATGTCCTTTAGGTCTTTCCTTTCTGTATCTGTTTCTCCTGCCACTGTTTGCATGTTTGCCACTGTTCCATAAGACAGCCTTAGTCTCCCTTCAGGATGGAAGGAGCTCACCTGAACTTTGCCAGGATGGAGTGGATGAAAGTATTTTCTTATCTGTAAAACTTCAGTCTCTCAGCTTTCTGCCAGAGGGCAAAATGCTTACTCAGAGATAATGTGACCCTACTCAACCCTTGAGATCTCTGGCTTACCCAGCAGCATATCTGACCCCATAATGCCATGGCTTCTCCACCAGCGCTGGGAGCCTTTCTGAAATGGAGTGCTTCATGTAAGGAAGGATTTATGGAAAAACACGTGCCATAGTGGCACAGATACCAGAGCTCACCTGCTCTGTAAGGGGTGTTCACTGTAGTACCCTAGTTCCTGCAGGTCATGAGAGAATGGGAGAGTGCTTATGCAAGGGCACTTTAGGTCTTCAGCAGGAGCCATGGAGAACACAGCTCAGTCGAATGTGAAAGCTGCAAAATGATGTTGTTGTTTTCTTCTGTCAGTTGTTCAGAATGTTTCAAGATTCTCTTCATATTTTGGGGGGGGTTGTATGACCCCCTCCAAGTGTTGGCAATATTAATACAGCTACAGCAACACTGCCTGTAGGAATAGCAGCCCCACTCATGAGAGGAAAAGCAGAAATGTTGCTCAGAAATACACTGTGTGCTTTAAAAGTGGCTTGTGAGTAGCATAATAAAGTAATGGATTTTGTGCACAGGATGATCTTAATTGTATCAGGAAAGTATGCTCTGTTATGAATTGTTTTCCCTGTTTTAGGAATCAGCATTACTAAAGCTAGTGGAAGCCGTGTTATCAACCTCAGTAAGAGCAGCTGTGAGGAGAGCTCCTATTTTCTGCCTTTTTTAATCTTGGTGAGCAAAGCAGTATGCTTCTCTTAAAGTAAATATCACACCAGTAAATTGGGTTCATCCACCATTTTTGGTTCTTTTTGGTAATTGCCTTTTCTCCAACTTGATAACATCATGTTTTCCATATCAACAGCACTTTATCATAGCAGCTGCTGGATCAAGCAAGAGCTTTCTTTAGCATCTTGATTATTCTTTTAG